AGGCAGGTCCAGCCCAGCCTGCTTGGTAAGCTCTATTTTCATATTCTCATTCCATCTCAAAAGAGAAAAACAAAAGGTGTGGAGCTGGGGAGAGATGGCTCGGGGGGGCACAAGCATGAGGACCTGAGTTCGAGTCCCCAGAACCCACATAAAAGCTGCGTTTAGTACTAGCATCTGTCATCCTGTGTTCCCAAAGGAAGACGAGAGGTGGAGACAGGAGACCTCCTGGTATACACAGCAAAAAGACCCTGTCTCAATCAATGTAGGAAGTGAGGACCGACACTCAAGGTTATCCTCTTGTCTCCACAGGCATGCACACACATGTACATGTGCGTGTGCACACACACACACCAAAACCTTACTGGGCTTCTGCATTTTTTTATTATTCTGGACGAGTTTCTATACTTCCCTGCTCACTGCTGACCAGCATGGAAAGCCCAGCATTTGAATGCCGAGAGTCCCTGCACTGTTTCTGGAGAAGTGAGGGCATGGAGATGACTGTGGGCTAGGGAACTGGGGAGTCCTTGTGGAGCCCCATGAGCTGCATGGGGGCCAGTGTGTTTGCTCTAGGGGCTCCTGGGAGCCTTTCATGGGAGGCAGTTGGGGTGATTCTGCCTGTGATATGACTCTGTCCTTAGCATCCATGAGAACCAATGAAATGTGACATGTTTTCCTTGTTGGCAGCACTGGACTAGGAGGCTCCCGCTCTGCTTCTGAGAGTGCTGCCAGCCTGGATCCGTGCACCACGCCCCTAGAGGTGACTGAGCCAAAGAAGCATCCCCAGGAAGTCAGGGGGCCAGAAGGTTCTCCACTGCCCAGATCATCTCAGCCTGGGGAGCAGGCGTGCTCCTCGGCCTCCATGCCTTTCACTGCGTGCCCCCTAGAAGTGAGCCCGGAAGCAGCACTTGAAGATGGTCCCCTCACCCAGCACCTTAGGAGGGACCTCTCCCCTAGTGTTCCACAGGACACCTTAGCAAGTTTTACTCCTGAAGGGGATGGCTCTACACAGCACACGGTGGCTCTCACAGCCCCCAGAGCTGAAGGAGACAAAGAGCCAAGGGAAGAGGGACAGAACTTCTCCTCCTCCTCCTCCACTTGTACAGAATTGCCAGGAATTTCCCCAGCGCCTCCTAGGAAGCCAAGGACAGAACTGCTTTGTGGAGAAGGTGGTGGACCTGGTGGTTTGGAGTCCCAAGGGAAAGCGAGAGCAGGTGATTGTTCCCCCCCAGAGTCTGCCACTGAGGTCCCTGCTGTCATCCAGCTGGAGATGGAGAGCTCAGCTGTCCTTGAGGAGTGCCCCCCAAAACTTGAGACCATGGTCCTGCAAGATCCAGTCCCAGGAGACATGGAGAAAGGCCAAGTGGAGGTGCTGTCTCAGTATTCAGCCAACAACTTGGAATTCCTGGGAACCTGTGGTAACTCAGGGGCTGCCCCCCATGCTGAAGCAAACACTGTCTCCCAGGAAAGCTGCCAGCAGCAGGCAGGAATACATCTGCCACATGCAGAGCTGCCCTCAGACCCACGAGATCCTGCCACAGTGCCAGGGGCCAGTGAGTCTCTGAACGCCAGTGATGCTCAGAGCCACCCACAGATGGGGACATCAGGAACCGAGCCCCAGCAAGTTGTCTGTGTGTCCTCAGGCAACCAGCCAGATGATAGCCTGCTTGTGAGTGCTGAGATGGAGGAAGTACATCCCGCTTCAAGCCCCACCGCACACCCAGCTGCTTGGATTTCTGTTGCCACAGAAGGATCCAGCTTGGCCACGGAGAAGGTTACTGAGCCTAAGATGCCAGTTTCTACAGATCCAGATGCAGCATTGGTGGGACTGAAGCCAGCGTCAGATCTCGGAAGGGCACAAGAACCACAAGAAGGGAGCCCCCAAGAGGTTCCTGCCCCTTCCCTTCAGGAACAGAGTGAAGCAGTCCCAGGAACCCTGCTGCTGCCCCCTCTTCCTCCTGAGGCTTCATGTGAAAATGCTGGAAGGTCAGTAGATCCAACTGATGGAGCCAAGGCCCCCAAGAATTCTGAAGAGCAAGTTGTGGCCAAACTAGAAAGCAGATCACCTGGAGGCCACCCAGGGGGACAAGAAAAAGCTACCAGAATCCTTGATGGTACAGAGCCTGGGAACTGTGAGGGAGAGGAGCCTCAAGCCTTCCACTGCAAACTCGAACTAGAGATGGACAAAGATGAGGTTTCAAAGCCACACAGCAATATAGAGAGCGGACTCTTTCCCAGGTCAGACTCAACATGGCCACCTGGGCCAGACTCTGGGTCAGTAGAAACAGCAGAGCAGGTGATCGCTGAATCTCATATGACCGACACAGCTCCCTCATGGAACAAATGCCATGAGAGGGACCCTGTCCTGCCCACAGCGTCAGAAGGAACCGGTGAACACTTTGCTGTCCAAGAAGCCATCTGGGAAAGGCCAGGATTGCAGTCCAAGTGCCCCAACATGATTTGGGGCAAAGGAGGACTGGGAACATCGCAGTCACTTCCAGCTCTAGAATCTGAGCAATCAGATTTCCTGCCTGCTCCAGCTGCGGAGGGTGCACCCAAAATCCAGGAGGTGGAGAACATATTGGAAGTAAAGATGAGGAGCCATTTGCCACTGCAGAGCTGTGATATAGACAACTTGCTGACATCTCCAGGCCAGTCTTGTAAGCCAGGGCATGATGGAGCTGGGCAGGAAGTCCAAGCTGATATGTCACATCCCCCTGATGGGGAGAAGTCAGTAGTGGGCCTTGGACTCACAGTGCTCAATCTGGAACAAGATTCTCAGGAAAAACCATCCTGCCCAGAGGACAGGCTCCCACTACCTTCTGAGAAACTTCTCCAGCCATCCCAGCTGGACTCAGAAGCATCCATCTTTGCTAAGTTCAGGGAGAAGGCCAAACTGCCTACAAATGGGGAAGGAGCTTGTCCAAGTGGCCCAGATCTTAAGAAGCAGGGTACAGATCTTCCCCAAATCCAAGTGCCTGGGGAGCCTTCGATGGATGTGAGCTTGCCGGTTCATGGAAGAAAGGATCAGGCTTCCAAATCAGAACTTCAAAGTGAGTCTCCCAAAGGCAGTCTATGTGAATTTCCAAGCTCATCACCCGAGGATACAGTTCTGGGAAGCGGTCCATCAGAGGAGTCAGAATTGTCAACCGCCGTAGGACAGAAGTTGCCTGCATTAGAGGGGAATGGTCAAGAGGGCATAGGCAGTGTTGGTCAGCCCTCAGAGCGCCTGCCTCCTACAGTAGATACCAGCTCAAAAGACTCTTCTCTTACAGGAAACTTGGGTGGAAAGGAGAGGTGCTGTTCTGGGCAGGGGCTGAGCAAGTCCCAACAGGAGCTGCCTGACGCTTTGAAAGCAGGCAGCCAACATGAAGATGCACGCTGTGGAGATGCAGGCGTTTCCGAAGCAGGTGACGCACTGTCCCTGCCCCGGTGCTTGAGTAAGACAGAGGCAACAAGTAGAAACACAGAGGAGGCCTGGCCTTTTCCACCTGACTCACTAGCTCTCCTGGATGCAGCACACTGCCTGCCAGCCCCAGAGCCTCCCAGCCCCAGAGTCACACCCATCCAGGATGCCCCAGAGAGTGTGGCATGTGATGAAACCCAGGAAGTCTCACAGCTGGAAATGGAGCATCCAGTCACCCCAGATGCAGAGGCGCAAAAGCTTCTTGGAAGTTTCCCCAGAGTAGAGGAGCAAGACGGTAAACGTGAGGCTGCTGAGCGAGGTGGCAAAGTCAGGGAAGGAGACCCCAGGATGCAGCAGACTCTAGGGGGACCAGAAACTGCTCAGAGTGGCGGCAGCTTTCAGACTGAGCAGTGTCTCGCCCCTGGAAAAGAAGCTTCCACTTCAGCCCTGCGTGAGCCTCGCCAAGCTGAGCAGCTCAGGTCCAGCTGCCCGGCTGCTTTGCTGCCAGATGGAGAACTGGGTACGATTCCCAGAAGCACTGTGGACATTTTGTCATTCCAGACTGTTCCAGGCCCACGGAGGCTCCTGCCGTCTGGGCCACCTGAAGAGGCTGTGCCTGACACCCCTTACCTGCATATCAGTGGTGACACCAGGAAGGGATCAGAAGATGGTGAAGCGAGAGCCGTTTCCTCCGAGGGCCTCACAGCTCCTGGTGAAAGCCCCTACCCCATAGAGGACCCCCTGCCTGCTTTGGAAAATGCCAGCCCTGGGAAGGTATCTGCTGCCTCCCTCACCACCCTCTTGCAACCAGGAGCTGCAGGTGGGGAAATCTCTGCAGCAGAAGCTGGTGGTGGCAACCCCCGAGCTGGAACCACGGAGGGACCTCCGGGTCTCATACCCTGCCTGGACAGGATGCCTCTGCTGGCTGAGGATGACCAGATGACAGGGAAAGCGAAGGCAGCTGCAGCTCCAGATGCAAACAGCAGCCGATCTGAAACTGCAGTGCGCCCTGTCAGTGAGGACGCAACGGGAAAGACAAAAAGCAGCGGGGAGAGGGCGGGAGAACCTTCCCTTGATCCCAGGGGCGGTGCATCAGGTAGTGGGGGTGAGGGGTCCAAGCAGACCAGCATAACTGCAGGACTCCCTGACTTCAGAGAGCACATCACCAAGATCTTTGAGCAGTCTGTGCTTGGAGCCAAGGACTTCACCATGCCACTGAGCCCAGAGAAGTTTCTGGATGGAACTCAAGGAGCAGTCACTGCCCCTCTCCCTGTAACTCATGAGAGAGCCTGGGTGGAGAGGAAGCCAAAGTCAGTTGTTGAGGCTGTGATTTCTCATCTGGTTCCTCCAGATCTAGCTCCAGAGAACCTGGCCGGTCTGGTGCAGCCAGCCTTGGAGGAGAAACTTCCAGAGGCCAGGGTTGAGGGGGAAGTGACCTGTGTCCCATTGATCATGAGAAATGAGAGGCTAGAGGGCACTGGGGAGGCCTGGCCTGGCCTGGGAGCCCAGGGCTCACAGCTAGAGAGAAGAGGGCAGGAGTTAGCAGTGGGTCTTTCCTTACCTGCAGCTCAGGGGATGTCTGTAGAAAGAACTTCTGGCTTTCCCATGACTGAGAGCTGTGGAGAGGCTTTTGCCCCAGGCAGCAGCATTCCTGCTGGAAAAGAGCACCTGGAAACAGCCAGTGGTGGTCAACACAGAGAAGATGGATCCTGGGACATTGCTCTCATAAGGGGTCCAGGTGATCTACCAGGATCCACCTCTTCTGATGGGAATGTTGTGCCTGAGGCTAGCACTGAGCCCAAGACCCCTGCCACGCTGGGGACTGAAAGGAGGCCCAAAGCTGCTGTCCAAATAGCAGAAATGCAAAATGTCCCAGGTCATCAGGGTGCCCCAAAGCCACCGGAGCCTAGCAAAGTGGCAGGAGCTGCTGAGGGAGCAGAAGGTGACATCACATTGAACACAGCAGAGATGTGGGCACGTGCCTCTGGCGACCTACTTGAAACAGGTACTACAAGGATGCTTTCCGGTGTGGATGGTGACTCAGAGCTGCCTGGGAGCTGTCAGGACCCAGGATGGGTTAACAGGGCTCAGTCAATGGCAGACGCGGGCACCCTGCAGGAGGACAGCCAGACTGGGTACCAGCAGGACAAGGAACAGCTGGGGCCTCATCTCCATGAGAAGATGGATATCTCCTCACCCCCAGAGCCTGGTAAAACCGGAGACCAGAAGCTGCACCTGTTGGTTCCAGAAGTCCACACTGACAGGTACCTAGATACCATATCCGCGTGTTCACAGGTGATCCCCACCATCATGCTAAGTGAATCAAACACGGGTGGATTTTAAGACAGTACATTTCCTATATCTAACGAGTTAAATGGCCCCACTTACCCTCTTTGGATGTGTTGGGATTCTGAAAAGTGTGAGAGAAGGTTGGGGGCACGAGAGCTGTTTGTTTGACATATGTTGTTCCTTTCCTTGTATTCTTTATCAAAAACCATGGAAAAGAGTGAAGTGTTTACTGGCTGGGCTGTGCCTAGGTGAGAGGTTGCAGGCACGCAATGTGTTTTCTGGAACTTAGATAAGTTGGAATTGTTTAGGCAGAAGGGTCCTATAGGATTCAAACCAGCCCCCAGCCACTGGCTGCCTACAGCCCCCCCCCCCGACGTCTCTCTGACTCTGTCTTTCTCAGGATTTTGGTGTAGTGTCCACTTAGAATTTTCATTAGGAAGTGTGCTTTTCCAAGGTCATGGGGAGAGACTGCTCTTTATCTATCCAATCCTAACCATGACTCCGTCTCTTCGTCTCAGAACGAGCCTCAGGCCTAACTCATCCACTTCACCTTTAGTTCCTGAGAAGGATGCTCCAAGAGTAACCTCAGATGGGGCCAGAGGTTCAGCAGGACCAGAAAGGTCAGTGACACTCACCAGGCTCTGGGATGCTGTGGTGCCTTCCTTAGACATAGACACACTGGGTATTTCACAAAGGAGAGTAGTGTTTTTGTGTTTATTTGTTTGAGACGGTGTCTCAGGTAGCCCAGGCTGGCCCAAAATTCACAGCTGAGGGTGACTTTGAATTCTTGATCCTCCTGCCTTCGCCTCCCAAGTACTGAGATTATAGGTATACAGTACCATACCAAGCTGAGAGTAGTTTTTCTGTGGGAGCCCTTATATATGTAAGAGGCAGAGGTAGTGGAACACACCTTTAGTTCCAACATTTGGGAAGCTGAGGCAGGAATATCATGAGTTTGGGCCTGAGCTACATTAAAGAACCTATCTCAAGTATGGGGGGAAGAGGGGAAATAACCATTCCCATCCTATATCCACTTAAAGCAGTGCCTGAGACAACTCAAGCATCATTGCTGTAAAAAGAACTGTTTGCTTCCATGCTTGAATTTACTGCCTTTGAAAAACAGAACAACTTTATTGAGCTACAAATTCACATACTGTATAATTCACTCATTTGAAGTCTATGATTCCCAACTGGGGCTATAACCCTGCTTGCCCATTATACATAGGACCCTGAGGTTAACCTCCAGTAAAACGAGTGTGTGCGCGCGCACACACCTCCCCTACCCCCCGCCCCACACGCAGTACAATTCAGTGGCTTTTAGTGTGCCTAGAGTTGTATGGCCAAGGCTATAATCAATTTCACAACGTTTTCATCCCCACAAAATAAGCCCTGCTGCCGCTGAACAGCACACCCCAGCCCCCCATACCCTCAGCTTAGGCACCCATTAATTGAGTTCATTTGCTTTTTTGAGGCTAATGAGTCAACTCTGCTTTAATCTCTGAAGCAGGAGTGACTCGTCACAACAGAAGCCACACTCCACAGAGAGCTTCAGATTAGGAGGGCAGATGACAGATGAACTGTGTTGCCCAGACCTTACCCCTTGCAGGAGTCCTGCCTGTTCTACCCTAAGTGTGTGTAGCGTTTCATCCTGCAGAAGTTGCTGTTTGCCCTTAGCGAGGAGACATTTTAGACAGGGACACTGTGAATAACTTTTGCTGCATCCTTAGACCTTTGATGTTGAAATGCTGCGTGTGTGCATGTGTGCATGTGTGTGTGAATGGGGTGGGATCAGACTCTCAATTAGTACCTGTGTCTCCTACCAACAGCTGTGGGTGTTTTGTAAATGATTTGATTCATGTTTTGCACATGCTGAAGGAATGCATGGTCACCTGTTTTTTGAGTCTCAACACTTCCTCTGGCTCCCGGCTGCCTCTGCTGCCTGACAATGGCAACTCCCATGACTCTGGGCCAGCACATGTGGCCTGTGCTGCCCAAACAGATGGGAGCTAATCTGCATTTGATGCCTGTTTCTGTACTGAGTTAGTGAACAGTTGCTTGAAGCCCTGCTTTGGAAGGACACAGACCAGCTTTGCCCAATAGGAGTATGACACAAGGCAGAAAGATCACCTTACATTTTCTAATAACGACGTTCAAAAAACTATACACAAACAGGGACAATGAACTTTAAATAATTATTTTATTGAAGTTATTATGTCAAAATAATACCATTTCAAGGTGAAATTGATAGAGCCATTACTGAGATGATGCACTGCACTCTTATTTTTTCATATAAAGTCTTCCTGTATGATATACCCACAGAATATCTTGATAGAGACCTGACAAGACATGTGGCTGATGGCAGCCATCTTGGATACTCTTGACATGGAGATCTAACAGTTTCCGTAACTGCTCCAGAAGGCTGCAGCCTCATACGGGACCCCAAAAGCCCCTGTCTCTCTGCCTAGCAAGGTCATGCCTAGTAGCTTATCACAGCTGAAGAGAATGCTTCTTTCCTTGCCAAGGAGACTTTTTCCTATAAACCTGTTTACCACAAGGGAATTGTGTGCGTGGCCCTTAGAAGGCCTCAGAGAAACTCCTGCCAAGGCCAGAGGGTGCATGTCTGGGGCAGGAGCCTGTGAAGGTCAAATCCAGCAGCTGTCTGGGAGGAAGGTGGGTGGATGCTGACAGGAGGTGGGCTGTGATGAAAGTCAAGGCCAGGACTCTGAGTTCATACCTGAGCTCTGCTTCTCACTGGTTACAGAGAAAACTTCAGTTTGTTCATCTGTAGGATGCTGATGACAAGTGAACCTGCCTCATCAGATTGCCCAGAGGGTTGAAGGCGATTGCTGACTCAAGTGCCGTGCTGGCACATCCTGGTGCTTGTTGGGTGTTGGGTTCCTGTGAGTTTATGACAGGCTTTCCTAGCGTGTAGCTCAGTCACCACATCACTGTGGAGGCAATTCCTGGGATCTCCATCTGTGCACCTTAAGACTCAACCTGCCTATTTCTTCTTTTCAGAACTGATTTTTTTTTTTTTGAGACAGGGTCTCCCAGTAGACTCAGCTGGCCTGGAACTTGCTATGAAGACCAGGCTAGCCTCGATCGACCTTACAGAGATCTGTCTGCTTGCCTCTGCCTCCCGAGTGCTGGAATTAGAGGTATACACCACCACACTTGGCTCTGAAATTTTTTGAGTTTAAAAAAAGTTTATTTTATGTGTTTGAGTGCTTACTCATATGTATGTATGTATATATGTGTACTATGTGTGTGCCTGGTGCCCACAGAGGTCAGAAGAGGTCATCAAATTCACAGAAACTGGAGTTACAGACCATTGCACTATGTGGGTGCTGGGAACTAAACCTGGGCCTTCTGCAAGAATAGCAACTGCTCTTAACTGTTGAACCATCTCTCCAGCCCTAGAATGGATTTTTTTGCAAGATAAAATATCTTGGAAGGCAGCTATGCTCACCACTGTATGACCAACGCTACACTATACCAAAATGTCATAATGGCTAAGAACAAGAGAATGCTTTAGAACATTTCTTCCTTCCTTCCTGCAGCCCACAGTGATCTCCCTGACTCAAGATAACATCTCTTTCTTTTTTAAAAATTATTTTTATTTTATGTGTATGTGTGTATTGCCTGCATGTATGTGAGTACACCCATGCCATGCAATGCTGCGGAGCTCAGAAGAGGGCTTTGGATTCCCCTGGAACTGGAGTTAAGGACTGTTCCTTAGCCGCCGTGTGGGTGCTGGAAATCCTCTGCAAGAGCAGTCAGTGTTCTTAACCGCTGAGCCATCTCTCCAGTCCCAACATTTCTTTTTTTAAAAATATTTTTATTATTTTTATTTTATGTGTATGAGTGTATTGCCTGCATGTATGTAAGTGTGCCCATGTCATTCAATGCCTGCAGAGGTCAGAAGAGGGCATTGGATTCCCCTGGAACTGGAGTTAGGACAGTTGTGAGCTGCCATGTAGGTGCTGGGAACTGAACCCTGGTCCTCTGCAGGAGCAGCCAGTGCTCTAACTGCTAGGCTGTTCCTCCAGCCCCAGCCTGCATTTCTTGAGATGGTATTTTACTGCAAAGCCTTGTGTGTCTTCCTCCGTATGCCCCACTGTATTTCAGCATCAGATATGTTTTAAGTTGCATAGTGAATCAAACCCAAAGTTTCCACTCTTGTTAGGAGGTCAGGGGAGTTGGTTTCATGGAATTGGTTGAATTTCAAAGATTTTGCTGACTGGAGTTGAGGTGAGAGCACCTGTCATCTCCACTATCTTGGAAATGTCTCTTTTGTCTTCTGTGACGGAACAGATTGACAGTCCAGTCTCATACCCATGTAGATGTGGGTGCACTGTATATTTTTATGGCTTTATTTCCTAGCTTATGATGTCTGACTGGCGCTGTTGGTGATGTGCCATAGGTAGCTCGTGGCTTTGTGTCCCTTCAGTCATGTCCCACATTCTGAGTAGCAGGCTCAGACAGACTGTAGTATATTTTTGTACATTGTATAGTCCGTCTATGGGGAAGCCTGGGACCCAGAGGGAGCGACTCTGTATGTTTGAAGGGATTTGAGTTGATCGTCCATTGCAGATCATCTTCCACATTGGTAGAATACCTAGACTTTGGCATTTTGATTACATATGGTAAGTATTTAAACAAGAAACTCTGGGTCAGTCTTGGACATCACTGTACTTCTATTTACTGAATTTAAGGGGAGTCTTCATTTCCATGTGGGGAAACGGTTGGTGAGGCATCATGTTCAATTATCAGTGCATTTTAAGAGAACAGATTGTTCCCAGATGCTTAGGGTCTTTGTGTAGACCCAGGCTAACCACTCAGGGTGGCTGGGTTGAAAAGTTGAGGGAAGAACAGAGAGAGACGGGTGGCTGCTTGCCGAGGAAGCCCTGGCAGGACCTGAAAGCCACAGGGAGCAGACCCTCTTCTTCCCTCCCACGCCATCTTCCCACGCGGTCTCCGATTCTTCTTTCTCTTCACCCCTTCTAAAATTACCAGTGGTGACACCAGGTTTTCAAGTTTAAGAATAAAGTTAGGGAATGGCCCTGGCTGTGTAAATTAAGGAAAAGGAAAGAAGTGTCCCAACAAATTCTCTCAGAGATGCAGGACAACAGTGCTCGCCCTGAAAACCTTCTGCCTTTACTTTATGGCGATATTCTCCCCTAATGATAGACTGTTAGGACGATGGGCCCACTTGTACCTCCACAGCTGGTTGCCTTGGATGAGCTGCCTGACTTTTTAGTCCTTTTTTTCCCATATGTATAAGATTGGACAGTAAAAAGAACACCTTCCTGGTAAGGTTGGGGTCAGGCTACAGCTGGAATGGATAAGGCCTGATGTGTGGACTGATACAAATGGCAGCTACCATATCTGTAGGAACGGGAGTGGAGACCGTCTCTAGACAGTCTGTCTCTTGGCCCCTCCATTGCTGCCTGTGCACTGGGGTTCCCCTTCCCCTGCTCAGTCCTCGGGGAGCTCTTCCAACAAGATCATAGATCCAAATGAACTTAGGGAACTAGCAATGGCAGACAGGGAATACTGGCAGTGTCATCAACAGTTGCAGTCACTGTGAACGGCCCTAAATAAAAGTCAGAGGGCCCTT